AGACAGTAAGCCCTGCAGAGATCTGTGGGTGGAGTCTCCTGGCAGAAATAACAGCAGGAAAAGACCTTGAGATGAGGAAAGTTCAGCCTCCAGCAACAAGGCCAATGGGACTGTATCAGAGTGAGTGTGAGGAGAATAGTTAACATAAGATCGGAGAAATAAGGGGAGGGGGGGCATTGTAAGAATATCAGATTTTCACCTAGGTATGTATCAATTAACTACAGCAGCCAAAAACAACAATAAACATTTATCATCTCACTTGGTTCCAGTGGGTCAGGGATTTGTGAATGGCTTAAGCTAGGTGGTTTTGGCCTTGGGGTATCTCTCATCAAGATGCCAATTGGGACATAGATATCCTAAGGCTTGGCAGAGGCAGGAGGATAGTTCCCAGGCTGGCTCACTCACATGACTGTCAAACTGTTGGCAGGAAGTTTCTGTTCCTCTCTGGCAGTTGGAAAAAGGCCTCAGTTCCTTGACTCGTGGATTTCTTCATGGGGTGGCTTCCTTGACCTCTTGATGTGGCGCCTGGTTACCTCAGAGGAGTGATCTTATAGAGAGCAAGGCAGAAACCACAATGTCCTTGATAACTAGCCTAGGGCATGCCCTCACTTTTGCAGTATCTTTTTGGTTACATACTCGTAGCTCAGCCCTATTCAGTGTGGAAGAGGCTACACAAGGGAGGGTATGACAGGACAGGACAGGAGGTGGTGGCTGGGTGTCATCTTGGAGGCTGGTTATTAAGGTGTGAATCCGTTGCAGAATTTTAAGCATGATGATGATGATGATGACAACAATGATAAAGAGATGTGTGTGTGTGCATATACGTAGGTGTATATAGAGATGTAGGTATATGTATATCAATTAACATATAGTATGTAATGCTTATATTTTATTCTATTATAGTATACATACTGTTATTACACAAGTAATACATGAAAACAGACAACTCCTCCCAAACATTTATTTTTTTCCAGCTTTATTGAGGTATAACTGACATACAAAAATTGTACACATTTATGTTGTACAATGTGATGTTTTGATATATGGATACATTGTAAAATGATCACCACAATCAAGCTAATTAACACATCATCTCACGTAGTTACCCTTTTCATGTGTGTAGTAAGAACACGAGATCTACTCAGTAAATTTCAAATACACAATATATTATTATTATTAACTATGGTCACCATGCTGTATGAGTTATATTACATCCCCAGGACTTATTCATCTTATAGCTGACGTGCCCTTTCTCCAACATCTCCCCATTTCCCCCATCGCCCCAGCCCCTGGTGACCACCATTCCACTCTTTGTGTCTATGAGTTCAACACTTTTTTAGATTCTACATATAAATGGTATCAAACAGTATTTGTCTTTCTTGATCTGACTTATTTCACTTAGCATAATGTCCTCCAGGTTCATCCACATTGTTGCAAAAGCCAGTATGTATTTCCTTCTTCCTCAAAGTTGAGTAATATTCCATTGTATATACATCACATCTTCTTTATCCATTCATCCTTCAATGGACATTTAGGTTGTTTCCATGTCTTAGCTATTGTGAATAATGCTGCAATAAACATGAGAGTGCAGATATCTCTTTGCAATAGTAATTTAATTTTCTCTGTGTATATATATCCAAAAGCGGGATCACTGGATTATGCAATAATTTTATGTTTAAATTTTTGAGGAACCTCCATACTATTTTACATTGTGGCTGTACCAATTTACATTCCCAACAGCGTACGAGGTTCCCTTTTCTCCACATCATTCCCCCAATCATTTACCTTATATACCGGGGGGGCGGGGGGGAGCAAAAAAAAAATGTATACAAGTGGACATTTGGTCAACGTTGCTCAAGCAGTAGTTCACTGTAATCAGACGTGTCTGGATGCGGATGGTAACCGCTTTGAGCACTTCTTATAATTGCAGAAGTCAAACGTGACTTGTATTCATCTTTTGTTATCATCATATATTATTACATATATTATTACATATATTAGCTTTCCTTTCTTAAAATGTGTATACATTTTTTGGCACCCTCTGTATACACATAGATATCCCGCTCCCCTCAAAATATGACCACACTGAATTTACTGTTTTATAACAAGCCTTTTGTCTTAATAATAAGCCATGCACCACCTTAAGAGTTACTGAGCCCACAGTGTCCCTGCAGCTTGTGAAGGTGCACTCTGAGGAAGCCCCCTGCAAAAGCATCTTCTAAAGCATCCTTCTCAAACATTCTAGAACATTCAAGTCACTGATCTGGGTGGTTATGATTTAGGAGGTCTGGGCTGCAGCCTGAGATTCTGAATTCCTACCCAGCGCCCATGTGATCTGCTGGAAGCTGCTGGCCCATGGGCCACACTTGGAGTAGCACTGTCTTAAAATGATTCATTATTAAATCCTGGACCGTGCCCTCTGAAGGCTGTCTTGGAATCTATATTTTTGCTATATTCCCAAGGTGATTCTCTTCTCTTCTCCTCTCCTCTCCTCTCTCTATCCCTCTCTCTCTGGTAAAATACACATAATGTCACATTTGCCATGTTAAAGTATACAAATCAATGGCGTTATGTACATGCACTCTCTAGTTCCAGAACTTCATCCAAAAAGGAAACCCCAGTCCCATTATCAGTCACTCCCCATTCTCACCTCCCCGCAGCCCCTGGCAATCAGGAATCTGCTTCCTGTCTCTGTGGATTTGCCTATTCTGCATATTTCCTAGAAATGGAATCATTCCATATGTGACTTTTGGTGTCTGGCTCCTTTTACCTAGAGTGATGTCTTCTAGGCATGTGTCAGCACTTCACTCCTGTGAGGTGCCTCTGAAGGTTGAGAACCAGCTGGATCCTGTGTGGGTGATGTAGCCCAGAGGTTGAGAGTCTGATGGCCAATTACATCCCCTCTGTCAGCCTCTCTCTTTGCTCACCTGTAAAAAGGGGGTAATAGCCCCTTCCTCACAAGGCAATTTGCAAAGTGACAGGCATGTGTGAAGAGCTGTTAGTTATTGTTATTGCACCTGGTGGATATGCTGTAATTAATCCAACTAATTGTTGGACATTCAGGCTTTTCCTATTTTGCTGTTTTTCAAACAATGCTGAGACATATCTTTATATATAAATATTTTAACACTTGTCCAGTTATTTTCTTAGAATAAAAGCCTGGAAGTGGAATTGGTAGGTCAAACATTTATTTGTATGATGAAATATTTCTGACACGTAGAAAAAGAATAGCTAGTGAATATAGTGAACTCACAGTTTCCACCTCTAGGTTTAACAAACAAACAAACAAAATGACAAATAACAATGTCTTGAGTTGCTTTCCTAATTGCATGCCTTTCACCTGATCCCCAGAAGTCACCACTAGGTTCCCCCCACCCATCGTTGTTACACCCTTGCACATTTGTGCACATTTACATGTACTTACACACAACCCTTGTTTTCTGTGTGTTAAAACTTCCTGCATGGACTATGCAGACTTCTGCAACTAGCAGCATATGGTGTGGGTTGTCCAGCTTGCCGTCTGGAGTGCCGGTCATCCTCTTTCACTGCTGTATGGTGTACCCTGTATGAACATGCCACGATCCGTTGATCCATTTTTCATGTGATGGACATTTAAGCCGTTTCCAGTTTTTCCACGGTTACAGCCACTGCTGTCACGAGCATTCTTGTGCTTATCTTTTTGTTTATGTTTGTGAGAGTTCCTCTAGGGTGTACACGCGTGAGTCAAAGGTGTTATCTTTTAAGATTCAGACATGCTGCTAGGACTTCCCTGGACAGCTAATCTTTGTATAGAGTCCTTTCTGCTTGCTAGCTCCCTTTCTCTGGCTGAGGCTGCTTCTCTCCTCTGGAGCTGTGGCCATCCTTAGTTGGGGGTGTCTCAGAACTAGAGGTAGTCTCAGTTGGGGAAGGAACAGTATGAACAGAGGATGAGAGACTGGAAGCACAGATGGAGGACACCTGGGAGGGTGTTAAGCAGGGCCCCTCAGAGAGGGAGCAGTGTGGTCCTTATTTTATAGATGCGAGCCTGAGACCCAGAGAGGGCAAGTCACTTCCCCATCTTCACATAGCGACGTCACAGAGAAACTACCTACTACGAGCAGGATATATAACAGTAAACCAAACAAAGACCACCTGCTCCAAGTGCGGAGCTTATTATTCTGGGCATAATTATGCCGAATTGCTAATTATGTCTGCCTCTGGGATTTGATGGGAGGGTGATAACAATTGGGAGGTGGGTGCCCTATGGGAGTGTCTCATGAGTCAGGGCTTTCTCTAAAGACCCCACTTCTCTTTTGGACCCGTTCACCCACAGAGTGTTATTGTGGATACTTCCAAAATTAAATGGGGTATTTAGGGGAGAGAATGTGGTCCAGAAGGATGAGAGCCCTTTGTACCCGGCCAAGGTTGTCAATAAAGTTTTGTCGCCTTGGCAACCGCAGGCCTCTCCGGGCGGGGCGGGGGAGGGGAAAAGAATGGAGGTGCGCGCGCATTCACCCCTCCCGCTCGCTTCAGCTTCCTTCCTCCAGTGGCTGAAGGTTTCACCAGTGAAAAAGAATAGGGAGGTCGCGACACTATGGTGATGGGCGGGGACCTTAGCCAATGGAAGGATGAGCTGTTTTGAATGTAGCCAATCATGTACGGATTCTGGAGCTGGCAGAACCCGCCCTCTTTCCATTTAGACCTGAATAACCTTACCCAAACCCGAGCTACGGCGCTTTTGACCAATGAGGGCGCCGACTTCGGGTTGTGGGCGGGGATACGTCTCCATGGTAGCGGCAGAAGGACAGCAGCAGGAGCTAATGGCAGCCGTTGGCCGCGCTGGAGGGCACTGAGGGCGTGGCGGGGTTTTGTGGGGGCACTGACGGGGGCGGGAAGGGAGGGTAGAGTAGGACTCGGCCAATAGGAGCAGAGCGAGCGCCACAGCAACTGAGGAGTGGCGGCGGCGTTGGCCAATGGGAGGCCGCAGTGGCCGTGGCGGGGCGGGCCCGGTTGGGCTGACAAGAGGCGCGGTGACCGTGTCTGACGAGAGCTGGAAGAGGCAGTAGGAGGTAGTGGCGACTGCGTCGCGGGCGCCTGAGGAGAAGGAGGAGGAGGAGGAGAAGCGGGTGAGGGGCGGCGCGGGGCCCGACCTCCGAGACCCTCTCGGCCCTGGTCCCGCGCCGCTTTGGCTCCCGGTCTCCCCCAGCCCTGACTGCCCCCTGCCCCGCCCGCCTCGTGTGCAGGCGCCCACGTCTCCCGGCCCCTCGGCGAGCCTCCTGCGGCTCTCGGCCCACAGCCGTCCCTGTGCTTTCTCACCAGGCCCCTCCGGCACCCCCGGGCCTTCCCAAGGACTCCTCTCATGCTCCAGGCCCTTCCCTGGACCCTCAGCGCACCCTCGGACTCACTCCCCTCGCTGGACCCCAGCGAGTGCCCTTTCCCTGCACTCGCACTGCCTACCCTGGTCTTTGTCTGCTTACCCCAATTTCCTCCTGGACCCTCGCTGCCTATCCAGGGCTCTCCGTGGACCCCAAATTCTCTCTTCTTGGCTTTCCTACCCTCCTGCCTGGATCCCCAGGATTTCCCCTGCCCCTTCTGCTTCTCCAAGCCCCGTTCTGGGCTCCTAGGCCCGGCTCTACCTTCTCGGGACCCTCCCTGGATCCCCAGACTCTTCTCCTTTCTCTCCCTGCACCCCAACTCTTCTATCTGGCTTTTCTGGGCTCCTCCGTGGATCCCCAAGCATTCCCGCAGCTCTCTATCCAGCCCCCCTTCTCCCTGCCCCAGCTCCCCTCCGTGCGGCCTCTATTTTGTCTTGACTCCATTGCCCCTCTGCGGCTTCTGCCCTGTCCCAGCGCCGCCCCGCCGCGCCCGCTCTTTATCCCCAGTCTTCCTGTCTTTCTATATTCTCTTTCCCAGCCAATCTAGCTCCGGATCTCTTAGCTCCCCCTTCCTTGCCGTCCCCCATTGACTGTCCTTGAAGCTCCGTGGTGTGTGTGCCCAGCAGGCTCTCTGCGGTCAGGGTTAGGGGCTTTGTTTTGCGAATCCCCTTCATTCTCCCTTTTTGTGGATCCCTTCTGCCTCTCCTTACCGTTCCTTGTCTTCAGACACCCCTGCCCCGCTTTGTCCTCTGAGCCCCTCCCCACCTCTGAATCCTTGGAGAGGGAGCAGGTGCTAGGATCCCTCCTCCTACCCTCACCCCCCTCCAGGCTGCCTGGGGCTTCACCCAGGGCCTCCTGACGACTCCCAGGGCTGCTGGGCTGCTGGCGAGGGGAGGTGGAGGCTGCGGGTGGGCGGAGGAACAGTCTCACCTGGGGGGGGTGGGGGGGTGGATGCCTTGGCATTTTTTAGTGAGGGTCAGAGGTGGAGCTGGGCCCCTTGACTCCCAGCTTTTGCAGGGCTAAGCCATTAGGGTCACCCAGACGGCTATTCAGCCGTCTCTAGACCGGGTGCTCATGCGCACACGCATATGTGTTTGTGTGTGTGGTGGGGGCTTTGTGTCCCTGCTCTGGAGCATGAGGAGGAGGAGATATTAATGAGATTGATTTGCATACGTTTGGGAGCTTTCCCACTGTCAGAGATACTTGTTGCATTTCACCTGCACTGAGAGCCCTCTGAAGTCAATGTTGCTTTTCCCCCCAATTTGTAGATGAGGAGATGGAAGGGATTGACAAAGTCCTACACAGTTTATAAGTGGCGTGGAGAAAGCACATGCCCAGGGTACTTCCCCAGCTGCTGCTTTGTGCTCCCTGCTCTTGGTTGGAGGCAGCATGGTCCATGGGACATCATGGGGCCCGATAGAGTGACAGCCAGAGAACTGTGTGAGAACGACGACCTCGCCACCAGCCTCGTTCTGGACCCCTACCTAGGCTTCCGCACCCATAAGATGAATGTCAGGTGAGGCAGCCTGGGGAGGACTTGGGCTTGGGACCCCTTCCTTTCCACCGCAGCCCCAGTGAGGGTGGGGGTGGGGCCCGGGAAGGCCAGGAGGGAATAGGCCAAGGCCCTGGGACCCAGGTGTGCCCTCTCCCCCAGCCCTGTGCCCCCCCTGCGGCGACAGCACCACCTGCGCTCAGCACTGGAGGCTTTCCTGAGGCAGCGGGACCTGGAGGCTGCATACCGGGCCCTGACGCTGGGAGGCTGGATGGCCCACTACTTCCAGAGCCGGGGCCCGCGGCAGGAGGCTGCCCTCAAGACCCACGTGAGGGCGCCCTTCTCTCCCCCAACCCAGCCCACATGTTCTTCGGAGCCCCAGGAACTGTGCCCCTCAGCGCAGTCCCCAGGACTCCCTGACTTGGTAGCCAATGGGACCATCTGAGGTGGGGCTCAGAGAATCCTAGGAGAGGAGAGTTGGGGGGCCCTCTGAGATGGAGTCCAACCTCTTCATTTGACAGATGAGGAAACTGAGGCCCTGAGAGGGGAAGTGAATTCCCGAGACCACACATCAAGTCAGTGGCAGAGCAGGACTAGAGCCCAGGAGAGAGAGGGCCGAGGACGACCCTGCCCCACCACCTCACCCCGCCCACCCCCTCACCTCCCCCAGATCTATCGCTACCTCCGTGCCTTCCTGCCTGAAAGTGGCTTTACCATCCTGCCCTGTACCCGTTATTCCATGGAGACGAATGGAGCCAAGATTGTGTCTACCCGAGCTTGGTAAGAGGGCAGAATTCCTGACGGGAGGCACCCCTCCCTGGGTCTGCTGGGAGAGGAAACCTCTCCCTCCTAGAGGATGGGATGAATGTCTGTGTTCCCACTGAGAACGAGGCCATAGCCTGGTCCCGAAGACTGTCCTTGCCCTTGCCCTGCTGGGTGATGAGACACGCCCCACCATTCGGCCCCAGGATTCCTGGGGTTGCCCCAAAGGCCTGACCTTGGGCCCAGGATTGTGCTGTCTTTTCTTTACCCTGACCTGAGCCCCTGCCTGCACTCAGTGTAGCAGGAAGGCAGGCCGAGTGGACACAAAGGTACTCACTGCAGCTGCTCCGAGCTTCAGGTGCCAGCCAGGGAATTTTGAATGTTTAGGGGAGCCAGGCCTAAGCTGGGACCCAAAGGATGAGCTGGAGTGTCTGGTGAAAGGGGGCTGTCGGGGAGTCAAGTCCAGGCAGAAGGACAGGGCTGTGGGATGGCTGTCAGCAGGCAGAAGGTGCTGTTCTTGCTGTGGGCTAAAGCAGGGAAGCCCAGCTGGGCAAGTGTAGAGCCATTGGGAGTGGGTTTGAGAGATTTGAGAGGCAGACGGTGGTGGTAGCCGGCAGCGGCCGTGGCAGTGGTCGTGGAGGCGCTGTTCACAGGTCCCAGCCTGGCCCTGGCAGGAAGAAGAACGAGAAACTGGAGCTGCTGGTGGGCTGCATCGCGGAGCTGCGGGAGGCCGATGAGGAGCTGCTGAGGGTGGGCGAGAATGATTTCAGCATCATGTACTCCACCCGCAAGCGCAGCGCCCAGCTGTGGCTGGGCCCAGCAGCCTTCATCAACCATGGTATGGGTGCCCTTGGGGCCGGGAAGGGGTTGGAGGGAAAGGGGGGTGAGTCAGCAGGGGCAGGGCCTGGTAGGGGGAGGAGGGGTGGCACCCCACCCTCTTGCTGGGTTCACCCAAGTCTCTTCTCTCCCCTGCCCCTGCCCCCCCCACCCCCCCGACTGGCTCCAGACTGCAAACCCAACTGCAAGGTGAGACCTGGAGACTCCCGGAGGAGTGGGCACGTGGGAAATGAGGGTGGGGGAGGGCTTTGTGTTCAATAAATAGCCAGAAACTGTCTGCTGTCTCCCCACCTGACAGAGCAGTTTCCCACCCCCTCAGGTGTTTGTGCCTGGGGGCTGTCAGACAGGGGACAGAGGAAATGCACTAGCTGGGGGCTGAGCCAGTTAGGGGGGGGGGCGCGTGGTGATGGGGAGACAGAAAGTGACCCTGTGCCTGGAACCCCAAGTCTTTCAGGGAGATGCCCACAGACCATAGCTGTGAAGCTGTGATAGCAGGAGCAGGGGATTGAGTGGCAGGAACCTGCAGATTCATGCCCCCTTGGGTGAGGCCAGAGAGAGCCCTGGAGGAGGAGGACAGGGACCTCTGGGAGGCAGGGCTTCTGGCATAGGGGGCAGAGGGAGCCAGGCTAGGAGCCAGGTGCAATGATGGCTGCTGGTTCTGTGATGGAGCCTGGGAGAGCGGGAAATGGAGGGGAGACAACTGGGAAGGCCTGAGTGCTCCCTGCCAAGCGTGTGCCTTGTCCTGCATCTGCGGGAGCCCCAAGACATGGCGGGGTCCTGGGCTCTGGAGTTAGACCTGGGTTTGAGCCCTGGCTCCGCCAGTCCCCAACCCTGGTTTCTCAGATGGGAGATGGTGAGAATTTGTCTCCTGAGCTGGTTGGGAAGGTCAGGTTCACGGGGCACACTGATGTCTGTTGGTGTTCCTGTGATTCTCCATGCCCCTTACGTGGATTTCGGGTGGGTGATGTGCAGCCTTGGTCTGGCTCCATTTGCAGACACTGGGTAAGACAAAAAACAAGGCCAGACTCCTTGAGAGGCTTTGTGCCAAGGTGGATGACAGCCACCTGGGGCACAGGAGCCAGGCTTTGAAGTTGGAGTTGGATTTTTCTAGGTATTGAAGTAAAACAGTCAGGTTAGGGTGCCCCAGACAGGACACATCACACTGGAGGGTCAGGAGGCGTGATACGTGTGGCGACTCTGGTCTCCTGTGCCATGCACAAGCCCGGGTCTGCCCATGTGGCTGTCCACTGGTCAGGGAGCTTGGTTTTTAGATGCCCTGACTGGTGCACTGGAGTTTTGGCAGGAAGGCAGAGCTGGAGGCAGGACGGCCGTGAAGAGGCTGGTGTGTAATCTGGTGTGTCACTGAGGAAGGGGATGAGGAGCTGGCTCCAGGTAGGGCCTCGGGGACCGAGAAGACAAGGACGCAAGATACTGAGCACCTGAGAGGCACTGGCCAGTTGGCCTGGGGTCAGGTAGGCAGCGAAAGCTACTCCCAGGCTTGTGTCAGTCTAGAGTGGACAGTTGGATGGATGGATGGACAGATGAACCCACAGATGGGAGTCATACCCTTCCCAGATGGGACCGCGGAGGCAGGAACAGGCAGGTTATTAGGGACTGTGGGGTATCGATTCCAGATGGGCTGTGCAGTGGGCACAGGCCTCCTGGAAGGGGGGGCAGCTGCCAAGGTGCAGGATGGCAGGGAGTGAGGGAGCGGTTAGGGGTGTGCAAGGGGGTGGGACTTGGCTGCACAAGCCAGAGCAAGGGTGATGTTGGAGCACCATCTTGCAGAGGGGTTGGAAGCCACATGGGTGGGTGATTGGGGTGATATGAGGGCAGGCCCTGGGCAGAGTGGACCACCTCCCAGTGGCACTTCTGCAGGGGCTCAATCACTGCCCCTCCTAGAGGATTTTCAGGCCAGGGGTAGCCAGCTGGCCTGGATACTGAGCAGCCCGGCCCCCAGTTTGTGCCCGCAGATGGGAACTCAGCCTGCGTGAAGGTGCTCCGGGACATTGAGCCTGGTGATGAGGTGACCTGCTTCTACGGTGAAGGCTTCTTTGGTGAAAAGAACGAGCACTGTGAATGCTACACCTGCGAGAGGTGAGCATGGAAGGGGAGGGGAGGGGGGAGGACAGGGAACAGGGTTAGGAGGGGAATCCCCTGGACCCAGAAGTGCAACCTCAGGGCCCATTCCCCCCAGGAAAGGGGAAGGAGCTTTTCGCCTGCGGCCCAGGGAGCACTTACCACCACGGCCCTTGGACAAGTACCAGCTCCGGGAGACCAAGCGGAGGATGCTGCAGGGCCTGGGCAGCAGCCGGCAAACCCTGCTGAGCCCATGGGCTTGTGCCCACCCATCCTCTCTGCGCAGGGACCTGTTCTGTGGTGAGCACAAATTGGGGCCCCATCCTGTCAGCTTTTCTCCATCCTGACCGTTTCTCTGTCCTCCTTTCTTGGGGGGGGGGGTGGCCCTAGCAGGAGCTGTTCCCCTTTCCAGAGGCCCTGCTCACCCTTTCTCCTTCCATGGCCTCCACAGCCGCCTGCCAGCCCCTGCGCCCCCTGGCCTGTGGCACCCACCCCGATACCTCGCCACTCTGGCTCCCATGGCTGTTGCAGCCCCAGCTCCGAGTACGTCCCCGGAGGCGCCGTCGACCCCAGCCCCGGCCGGTTCCCATGCACCCTGTTCTCCGTGCTGCCCGTATCTCCCTGCACAGGTGGGGAGGCTGTGGCCCACACTGCCGCCTGGAAGCAGAGGCCGTGGTGGCCCTGGGCCCGGCCCCCCATGCCTGCTGGGCCCCCCAGCAGGACTGGCACTGGGCCCGGCGCTACGGGCTGCCTTACGTGGTACGTGTGGACCTGAGCCGTGTGGCCCCAGCCCCACCTGCCACTGCCACTGCCACTCCGGTCCCCACCGGGACCCCAGGCCCCATCCCCATCCCCAAGCAGGCCCTTGCCTTCGCACCCTTCTCCCCACCCAAGCGCCTGCGGCTGGTGGTCAGCCACGGCTCCATCGACCTAGATGTCAACAGTGATGGACCATGATGGGCTGGACAGGGTGACCCTATTAGTCCCCCTAGCCCAAGTTCTCGACTCATGGACCCTCCAGAAGGAGCTCTTGGACCTCTGGGAGGAAGCTGACCCTTGACCCCAGCACATCCCTGACCCAGTGTCGGGTTGCTTTGGACACCACCAGGGATTGGACCCCTGACCCTTTGTGACTGCTGACCCCTGAGCCATCCCCACCCTGTCAGGGAACCCTAGCCATTGCTGCCCTCCCCGTCTCCCCAGCTCAGGACTGAAGGAGCTGTTCCTTCCCCTCCCACCTTCTCCTGCCCAGGGAGCAAAGCCATAAGGGGTGGGGGCCACCCCTGGCATCTCCCCAGAAGCCCAGGCCTCAGGAGGAAGGGGAACTGACTTGGGGGTGGCACTTTTTGGAGACTGCCCCATGGAGGGGAGTAGGTTTGCTCTCAAATCTGGGACTGTTTGAGGTGGAGGGCAAGGTGGGGGGTGCCCACGTGTCCTCAGCACCCCCTGGGTCTCAGGGAGGCCGGGTGCAACCTTATCTTTCTTATGGTGCTATCCCTGGTGCTACTGGGGTGTGGGGGCTCCCTCCCCTCCCCCACACCAGAACGGGGTATGTTGGGGGATTGGAAGCACTTGAACTTTTTATTTTATTAAAACCTTGTTATAAGCAGCACCCTCAGAAGATTTTCATTTTGATTGATGTTTTGAGGAGCTGTCTGTCAGGAGGGCGAGACCCTCAGCCATTCTGGGGGGCCAGACCCAGAGGAGGAAGCCCAGGCTTTGGGCCTAGGAGCTTTAAGAGAGGAAGGGGTGACGACTCTTGAATTTTGCTGAGAAAGAATGCTTTCAGACCACCCTCCCAGTAGGAAGGGATTTTCCCCTTTTTCCAGAGGAGATAACAGGTCCAGCAAGCAGAGTGACTTGCCTGAGGTCATGTGGGCTTGGTCGCCCTTTCTGGAGTCAGATCCCCTCCCACACCTCACCTGTGTCATCTTGGTTGACCTGGCTCAGACCAGAGGAGTCTTCTCAGTTGTCTTCAGATCCAGTTTAATATCTTGATTTAGCTCTTGTCTCTTAATTCTCACCTAAACCCCCTTTTTTACCAAAGGAAACACTAACAGCTAACAATTAGTGAGGGCTGTAGCAGCCACTCCGCCCATCTTGCAGACTTTTTTTTTCTTGTTCATTTGAGGCCTCCTGGAGGACAGGCTGCAGACCCCCGTCTATCTCCTCCTTGCTGGCCGGCCTTGGAAAAGTTTACCCTGAAGGTTGAGGCCAGGCCATGTGCGTGAGGGGCCTGGGGGCCCTGAGGAAAGAGTGAACAGGCAGGGAGACCCAGGTGGCTCAGAGCAGGTAACCTTTTTTACTTTAGAATTTGTTTTGTTTACATACAGCCTGTTTCATTGGGAATGAGAAAAATAATGCCTTTTGTGCAAATCCTATTGAACCCTATTCATTTTCTCCCTCATGTTAAAAATGAGAGAGGGGGCCTCTGAGTCAGCAAGTGGGGTCGTCCAGGCCCAGGGCAAGGGGTGTGTCTGAGGTTCAGAGGGTCAAGGCCGATGAAAACCCCATCATACATGTGGGGGCCAGAGCAAGGAATTCAGGGAAGGTGCCTGGGAGGCAGAGAAAGGAGGGAGCTGGAAGAAAAGAAATAATTACAGTGACAGGGAGCCCTGTGCTGTCTAGGTAGGATGCCCTAAGCCTGGATCCCATTTCTTCCCTTGGGGGTGCTCTCTGACCCTTTTACACTGAGCAGGGGGTCCAGGACCCTATTGATGGAGTTGGTCATCCTGAGGCTGCCAACCCAGGTCACTCCCACTGTCCAGTGCAATATCCGGCACCAGAATTGGGCCATGCTGATGCTGAGCGCCTGAAATTGTTTATGTAGACAGAGACCCCACATACCCTGTGGGGCTGGACAAGTTCTAACTTGTAACTCACAGCATCATCCTCCCCCGAGCCCTGTGAAGCTCAGAGATTGTTATTGCCTTAATTTAGATAGACAGATCGTAGGACGGGGGCATCAGGACTCCTGTCTGGGGCCGCATGGCTGGTAAGCTGCAGGGCTGTGATTCGAATCCCCTCCCAGAGCTCATCCAGGCTTTGGGGTTTTCAGAATGGGAAAGAGGCCAGAGCTGTTCCCCCTGCAGACCAAGGGACAGCAGTGACTTCCATGGGGTGATGAGGTGGGAGGAGAGGAGGAGAGGGGTGCCTCCAGGAATGGAGGAGCAAAGGGTGAAGAGCAGCCAAGGGATTTTGTGATTCTGACCAGGAAGCACCTGGAAAAAATCTGTCAGCAGTCTAGGAGGAAGGAGCTGTTTCTGAGGGTGTAATGGCAGAGGAAGGGGAGAAGGATAAGGGATGGAGTGAGGGGCAGTGGGGTTGGGGGAGGTGGGAGGAGTGGAGGAGGGGATGAGGAAGGGGAGAGTGGGAGGAGGTGGCTAGGAGAGCAGGGATGCAGGTTGGGGGAGGGGGGAGAAAGTTGAGTGGCCTGAGCTGCTTCTGACCTGGGAGACTGCTGGGGGACAGTGAGGCTGGCATTGGGGGCTCAACACGTGGCAGGCAAAGCTGGCCTAGGAGCCAGAGTTTAGAGCTGGGAGTTAGCGGTGGTGGTTCAGCCAGCCGGAGGCTAGGCATCTGGCCCAGACTCAGGCATTCATAGTGCAGTGGTGGCCGCAGGGAAACAGGAGTGTAAGAATACCCCAGAAGTGGTAGAGGGGTGATGGTGGGGAGGACCCAGCTCCCAAGAGGGAAGGAAGGAGGAAGACTGGGAGGGACTGCTGGCCAATGGGGCGAAAGTACACTCCAGGCACTGGTGTTCAGGTGAGGTCAAGAGGCTGGCGGTGGCTGCACAGGTGTCAGGCGCTGTACTGGACACTACCTGGGTGACCTCACTGAGTGCTTAGACAGCCGACAGCCCCATTCTGTGACTCAGAGCTACCCTGCCCATGTGGCACTGCTGCTTCCTTCCTACAGCAGCACTGCCTCTGTGCAGGCCAGACTCCAGAAGGTCCCCTGCTGTCTGGCCGGTGCACACCCTGCCCCCTCACTGGTCCCCCTGCCTCTCAGGTTGTAGTCCAAGAGAGGGAGCCCCGGGGGCCCAGGTCTTGGGGTGGAACCATCCTGGAGATGGGATGGCTGGGGTTTGCCTTGGGTTGGGTGATGAGGGCATTGAAGAGGGGGGGAGCGAGATGGAGCCAGTCCTCCCCTGAGCTCAACCAGCCCCTCCCATTGTCCCTCCTTATCCAGGGAATCCGCATCATCTCATTTACAGCTGGGGAAACTTGAGTTGTACACAGGTTAAGAGGCTTGTCCAAGGTCACCCAGCAAGTTGTTATGATTAGTAACAGCCACCTTTGACCCCCATGAGCCAACTTCAGGCAGATTCTGGGGGGAGTCCAGGCTGTCCCAGGAGCTTCAGGCAGAAACTGAAATCCAACCCTCCCCTGCCCAGGTGTCACAGCTGGCTGTCTGGGGCAGGACCAGGCTAGGACCCTGGGCTCTTCTCTCTGTCAAGGGTTACTACTTAGCCTGGGGGGTGGGTTGGAGGTCGCTGGAGAGGTGCCATTTCTAGGGACGAATCAGAACAAATCTCAACATTGTCACCTTGGAGCCTGGTTGAGGGCAGGCCCAGTGTCTAATGGGGTGCGAGCAAAGAATAGTCCAGATGGACCTCTGAGCATCCTCAAGCTCAGTCAGGAAGGGGTCTGTGGGAGTGGGGGGTTGGAATGAAGTAACTTGTTTTCTGGAGAGGGGCTGTCCCGTTTCATTAGAAAACGGAGAAAGCAGCTCCTGGCTGTGAATGGGGTGCTGAAAGGACAGAGGTAAGTACAGCAGACCCATTTGGGAGGGCTCCCATGACCCGGCAGGATGTTACTGGGAAGGAATTGAAGTCATATGGGGGCAGGAGAGTGACAGACAGCTGGGAAAGGGTCTGGAGCAAGGGAGGGAGGGGTGGAGGTCAGCGCTGGGTGGTCCCAAAATGTCCCTCCTCAGGACTTGGGGTACAGTAGGGGCAGGAAACCCAGGAGTGTGGGAGGACAAGGTAAGAGCAGAAGAGGGATCCTTAGTGACAGGTAGTTGTGGGGACTGAGAGGCAGGAGCACCGTGGAACCATTTTGATGGGCAAATGTCATCTGGAGAGCCAAAGGGGATGGCTGCTACCTGCTGGAGGGTGGGGAGGGGGTGGGAGGGGCAGGCTTGCTCTTACCCTAGAGATCTGACGCCATCCCAGCCCTGATGGAGCACAGTTCTTCCCCGCCCCTCCCTCATCATCAGAACAGTAGTGTTGGTTCGAGGACACAGACATCGGGAGGACCTCCCTGCTCCCCAAGCTACACTGGCCAGACATTAAGAAACAGCGGCAACAACATAGCTTTATTTGTGGCTTAGAGACGGAGTGGGAGGCTGGGGCCGGGTCTCCGCGAGACGAGTAGATGGGGCCGCTGGGGCTGATGCCCCGGAGAAGCAGAGCTCAGGTAGTCAGATTTTGCCTGCGAAGGTCTCGTCCCTGATCTGCTCGGTCCAGCGCTGCACCTGGGGAGGGGCAGGAGGCAGATAGGGGCGCCGGCTCACGTCAGCCGGGCCCGCTCCCCGCGCCCAGTCCGGCGGGTTTGCGCCCCCTTGCCCTCTCACCCAGCTCATGGGGCACAGCGAGTGGAACACGCGGAAGTAATACTCGCAGGGCTGCGTGCTCTTCCCGCGGAGGTTCATTTTCTTAAAGCAGCGATGGTAGTCTGCGGGGTGAGGCAGGACGGTGGGCTAGGGCTGCAGCGCGGCCCGGCACCCCCGCCCCGCCTTCCACTACAGGCGGTGCCCGCTCCAGGCCAGGCCCCGCCCCCATGTCGGTCCCCGCTGCTCCTAGTCTATCCTTATCCCTTCCACTCCAGGCCCCGCCCTCCCGCTCTCCCTCACCCCCTCCCTCCAAGACTTATCACGCCCCTCCAGAACAGGCCCCGCCCACTAACGACCAGGCCTCACCCCCTCCAATGATAGGTCCCACCCCACTCCTAGCCAGGCTCTCTCTCACTACCTCACTCCTTCCGCCTCAGTCCCGCCCACCCCCGACTAAGCCCCCCTATACCTAGTTCGCTCCGCCCCTCCAGGCAAGGCCCCGCCTCCTTTCCTTCCTGTTCCACCCCAACGGTCTCCACTCCAAGTCCTCAGGAGTTGGAGCGCGGCCCTCAGGACTAGGCGCTGCCTCCCCCCTCTCACCCGGCTCTCCCTAACCTGCCGGCGAGGGCTCACCCAGGAAGTTCTGGTAGCAGTTGCGGGTCTGGTTCTGGTTGGGGAAGCGCGGGTCGAAGGGCGGTGTACGCCATCGCCCACTGGTGGGCTTCTCAGAGCCAAACATCTACCGAGGCGGCAGCTCCTGCGGAGAGGGCTGGCTCAGTGGGGCCCAGGGGACGCCTCTCGCTCCGATCCTCACCCAGCTCCTGACCCTCATCCCGAAACCCAGCCCGATCCCTCCCGTGCTGTCCTCACCAAACTAATGACAGCGCGTCACGGGGTCGCCTGTGCTTGTGGCTCCGTCCTGGGTGCCCCTCGCTTCTGAGTCTCTAGGGTCCCAGGCCAGGTAAAACACGACCCCCCGACCGGATTGGCTGGGACCCCCGAAACCCAGCCAATAAGAGCCGCTGCACTGCAGAAAACGTTCTGGGGCGGGGCGGGGTCGGTGTGGACCCCACCTCCCGCCTCGCAGGTCCCGCCTCCAGCCCTAAGTCCTCTCCCGGGGCCCCAGCGCACACACGGGCACCGAGACTAGCTAGCTAGGCTTTTGCCAAGTCCCAGACTCAGCCTTTTAATTTCTGCGAAGCAGGGCCACCCCTTGGGCTCGTCCCCCAATATATAAATGCATAGATAACTCTGGTCTCTGCCGGAGAGGTAGCTCCCCTCTCCCGGCCTTCTCACAGTAGAGAGCACAGCACCTGGAGCCTGCGGGGAAAAGCAAAGAGCACGGGTGGGATCTGGGCTCCTGAACTCTGTGCCAGGTGTAAGGCGGGTCTGAGTGTGTCACGGGCTACCTGGTAACGGTGGGCTCCTTTGGACACTTAGACGACTGAAGTTGAGTCCCTTGCATCTTGCTATTGAAGGTGCTGGGAACCGTGCATGCTGGAGAGAGAGCAGTGTGCGCTCAGTAAACGTGTTGACGTAGGCCCTGTTCAAGGGGCCCCGCAAGCCTGAGCTGAAATCCGGGTCCCCACCTGCCTCCTCCAGTTCCACCCCACCTCCTTCCAAGGTTTCTCACCCTCTTGCCCCCCTAGTATAAAGCCTGACTCTAGATCCTTCACCCCAGCATCCAAATGCACGAAAATTTCTTCCTCTTAAGAAGCCTCTCTTGTGCCCATGTCCTACACCAGCTGCCATCCATGTCCCTCTTCCCCTTCCGGCAAACTACACGGACAGAGCTGGTCTCTGATTCCCCTCTTTAGGTATATATGTAGTTGGAAAATACACATCACAACATTTACCATTTTAAAATGTACAATTCAGCTGCATTAATTACATTCACAATGTTGTGCAACCACCACCTCTATCACATTCTAGAATATTTTCATCATCCTAAAAGGACGCCCCATACTCTTTCAGCAGTCTCTGCCCATTCCCCCACCCCTCCCAGTCCTTGGTAACCACTAACTTCCTTTCTGTGTCTATGGATTTGCCTGTTCTGGACATTTCATACAAATGGAATCACACATTATGTAGTCATTTGTGTCTGACTCCTTTCACTCAGCATCATGTTTTCGAAGATTGCGGCACAGTGATTCCATTTTCTGTGCTCCCTTAAGCCTGCCCCGTCCAGGTCTTCATCCCCACCATGTCACCTCATTGCTGATAACTCCAGAGGTCCTGTCTCCCCAAGTACCTGCTCGAAGGCATGAAGACACCCAGTTCCTTCTTTGTCTTCTCCACCTTGTTGGCCATGTCCTTCATACTCCCAATTTCCAAGAGCTTGGGCTCGAGAATCTCCAAGGATGACCCCATCATGGACAGGGGGCGCTGGTCCAGCATCCCCATGGTCTCTTGAGATCCTCTCTTGGGCTTTTGGGACACCCTGGCCTCCATCTTTGAGATGGGGGTCTGCAAGATGGGCATCTGGATTACATCCTCCCACCTTGTTGTGGGCAGAGGGATAGGGGCCTGAGAGGCTCTGTCTATCTTTAGGCTGCTGGGGGCACGCTGGGAGTGGGGGAGCACTTTGGAAGGCCCCCTTTGGTCCGAGGGCAGCTCCTCCACCTCTACCTCTGCCCACGGATGCGAGGTCTCATCCACCCATAGACTTGTGCTCCCCTTTGCCCAGGGGCCCAACCAGGGCTGCTCCCTGACCACCACCGGTGTCCCCTCCAACACCTGGCTGGGTCTGAGGGGCTCCGTGCTCATCCTTGACATGGCAGACCCTGGGGTGGTCAAGAGGCAGGAGGGCGGACTGACCAGTTCTGGTCTCAAGGGTGGCTGCTTGGAGTTGGCCATGATCATCAGCTTGGCAAAGGTGAGCCCCTCCACGGAGAAGGGCCTGCTGTGTTCCTGTGGCGCTACCTCCATGGCCAGCTCCTGGGTCTCAACCCACTTCTTCTGCTGCCCCATCTCCTTGGACTTGAAGCCAGGCCTGTCCCCGGATTTCTCCTCCTTCATCCTTTGGACCTCGTCCTCCAACTTCCCCTTCTCCTTTAAGCCATCCAGGGTGTTCTCCTGGGCTTTGCTGATCACAACTTCCTTCGACTCCATGGTGGTGGTGAAAGGCAACTCCAGGGACATTTTCTGGGCCCTCATCTCCCTGACATTTGTCTTCTGGGCGCCCACTAGCACCACTGACTCTGGCTTCCCTTCAAGCTGACTTTTCTCAAGCACATCCACACCATGACTTCCCACGGACAACATGCCAAAATCAGCAGGGTCCAATATCACCTGGAATTGGATGGGTGAGGTCAGAGCCTTCTGGGATGGGGTAGGCAGGAACAGAAGTTTCTGGTTTGGGATAGGGGGGCACACGGCCTTTGGGGGAAGAGCAAGTGCAGATGGGGCCTTCTGAGATGGGGCAGGTATTGCTGTGGCCTTCTGGGGGATAGCCAGTACACGTGGGATCTCCCGGGATGGCCCAGGTATAGCAGTGGACTTCTGAGATGGGGCAGGTGCAGCTGAGGCCTTGTGGGAAATAGCTGATAAAGGTAGGTCCTTCCGAGATGGGCCAGATATGGTGGGGGCTTTCTGGGGAACAGAAGCTACAATTGGGGTCTTCTGGGGAGCAGCAGGTCCAGCTGGGGCTTTCTTTGACGGAGCATGTACAGCTGAGACCTTCTGGGCCTGGTCAAGGATAAATGGAGCCTTCCAAGAGGTGGCAGGAACAGAGGGGGTCTTCTGAGAGGGTGGAGGCTGCAGCCTCTGCACAGAGCCCAGGGTTCTGTCCTTTTCGTTGCGCCTGGGCACAGAGGAGTAGGAAGCAGGCAGGTTGAAATTGGGAGAGTAGGTGGCCTGGCTGAGGAAGCTGGAGGACGAGGTGCTAGATTTGGAGTCCATCAGGTCTTCCATGTCCTGTTGCCACAGGTAAGAATCAAAGTGATTGAAGGAACCCAGCAAGGAAATATCATGGCTGTCCTCTGAGATATATCATGAAGGGGTCTCAATTAAACCACCTAGGACCATTGCTCTGTCAGAATTACAAGAGCAATGCTGCAGGTGGAGGGAGGAGAGGGAAAGATGGTCAGGGCCAAGGAAGCCTCTCAGAGGTAGACCAAGCCCCCATGCCCCCTCCCTCAGACCCAGGAATCCAGGCCCCTCCTCCCTCAGACCCAGGAATCCAGACCCCCAGACCCTCCTCCCTCAGACCCAGGAGTCCAGACCCCCAGACCCTCCTCCCCCAGATCTAAGAGTTGGGCTCCTGGGCCCCTAGTATATAACTGCCTTGAAAGAGGATGGCATTTGGTTGATGGTGCCGGAAATGATGCTATAGATGGTCCGGATGGTGATGCTGGGCTTCTCTGGGAGGGAAAAAAGCAGTCTGAGCCCTCAGGGGAAGGGCTAGAGCTTTGGGGTCCATTCATGGAGGGGGGGGGCGGGGAGCAGGTGTATTCACCAGAAACTTGGATTTTGGTCTGAGAGCTGTGAAGGCAGCAGTCATGGTGTGACCTGTAGGCACAATATGGTGGGACTTTGGCAACGTCCCCATCCTTCTCCTGCCCCCACCAGCGACAAGGCGCCAAACCTACTTTTTTTCTGTGGATTTCTTTCTAGTGTCAGCATGCTCCAGGTGTGACCAGATGAGAGGCAGGGAGTCACCCACAGCCTGGGACTTAAATCTGCGCTTGAAGGTCTGGCACGGGGACAAGGGAGGGCCATCAGAACGTGCAGCCCCTCAGCCCAGTCACCCACCAGCCTGCCGGGGCCTACTCACCTTTGTTTTCTTATGTTTCTGAGATGTCAGCATCTTGTAAGGAAATGTGGGATCAACAGTCATGACTGGAAAGAGAGGGAAAGACCTGAGCCAGGGTCCCTGATGCTAGGGAGGACTTGGGAAGAGGCTGAGAGGAGACTCCTGGGGAGCTGAGACACGCAACAGAGGAGGAAGAGTGCCCACGCCTAGTGGGGGAGAAGCTGAGATGCAGCAAGCCCAATCGATGCCAGAGCCTGCTCACCTGAATGTCTGGTGTGGGACTGGTCCTGTGGACAGGGAGGGTCAGTCAGGAGAGGCGACCTCTTCCTGGCTTCCACATCTCCATTACTACCCAGCCTAAGACTCCAGGCCCCNCTCCAGCCCTCAGCCCTCAGAGAAACCTCCTCTTAGTGGATGTGTATGACAAATTTAATTCCCTCTTCTTCATCTCAAAAAGGTTTCTTACATTTCAGACCCAGGAATCCAGACCCCCAGACCCTCCTCCCCCAGATCTAAGAGTTGGGCTCCTGGGCCCCTAGTATATAACTGCCTTGAAAGAGGATGGCATTTGGTTGATGGTGCCGGAAATGATGCTATAGATGGTCCGGATGGTGATGCTGGGCTTCTCTGGGAGGGAAAAAAGCAGTCTGAGCCCTCAGGGGAAGGGCTAGAGCTTTGGGGTCCATTCATGGAGGGGGGGGGCGGGGAGCAGGTGTATTCACCAGAAACTTGGATTTTGGTCTGAGAGCTGTGAAGGCAGCAGTCATGGTGTGACCTGTAGGCACAATATGGTGGGACTTTGGCAACGTCCCCATCCTTCTCCTGCCCCCACCAGCGACAAGGCGCCAAACCTACTTTTTTTCTGTGGATTTCTTTCTAGTGTCAGCATGCTCCAGGTGTGACCAGATGAGAGGCAGGGAGTCACCCACAGCCTGGGACTTAAATCTGCGCTTGAAGGTCTGGCACGGGGACAAGGGAGGGCCATCAGAACGTGCAGCCCCTCAGCCCAGTCACCCACCAGCCTGCCGGGGCCTACTCACCTTTGTTTTCTTATGTTTCTGAGATGTCAGCATCTTGTAAGGAAATGTGGGATCAACAGTCATGACTGGAAAGAGAGGGAAAGACCTGAGCCAGGGTCCCTGATGCTAGGGAGGACTTGGGAAGAGGCTGAGAGGAGACTCCTGGGGAGCTGAGACACGCAACAGAGGAGGAAGAGTGCCCACGCCTAGTGGGGGAGAAGCTGAGATGCAGCAAGCCCAATCGATGCCAGAGCCTGCTCACCTGAATGTCTGGTGTGGGACTGGTCCTGTGGACAGGGAGGGTCAGTCAGGAGAGGCGACCTCTTCCTGGCTTCCACATCTCCATTACTACCCAGCCTAAGACTCCAGGCCCCCAGCCCCTCCTTCCTCAGACCCGGGAGCCCAGGTCTAGCCCTTCCTCTCAGACCCGGGAGCCCAGGCCCCCAGCCCCTCCTCCCTCAGACCCGGACGCCCAGGCCCCCAGCCCCTCCTCCCTCAGACCCAGGAGTCCAGGCCCCAGCCCCTCCTCCCCTGCCTCGTTCCTGGACTTCAGGCTCTTGGTCCTGGCTCCCATTTGAATCTATTGTAGAATCATAACTGCCCCCTGGAGTCTGGGGTGTCATGGTCCACCTGGAGGCGCCAGGTGGAGGCAGGAGGTGCCACCAGGGCCAGGTCCGTGGGGGGCGTGTGCAGGGTCCTGGGGGCCCAGGTGGTGGCCGGTTCCTGGAGCAGGTTGATAAGCCGGATCCAGCGGTCAAACAAGAAGGCAACCTCGCCAGCAGGGGCGTCTAGCTCCAGGTAGTAGCAGCGGCCTGTGATCAGGCGCAGCTTCAGACGCCAGGCAGACAGGTTGTGAACATACAGGTGGACCAGGTCCAGCGGGATCATCCTAGGGGGGCGTGCAGGAGATGGAGGAGGTAGAGCAGGAGATGGGGGCTGGGGAGACAGGGGATGGGGGAGTGGAAGTACCTGGTGAGGACAAGGTTGGAGCAGTCCCTGCCCTCAGGGGGCTGAGCGATCAGCAGGAGGTCTGGCAGCACCAGGCCTGGCAGGGAGGCGGCCACACCCATAGTCAGACGGTTGGTTTTGTGGTGCACATATACAGGGGCCCCTTGGTTGGTCACCTGCGGGGCCAGGGAGAGGGGCTGGAACCACTCCTTTCTGTAATGCTCTTGTGGCACCCCCAGCCTGAGCCCCTCACCCCCTGAGTCCCCAGATGCCCAAATCCCCAAGCCTAGGGGGTCTAGCTCTTCCCCTCTCCACCCCCAGGCACAGGGAGCTGGGGACCTGGACAAAGTTACTCTCGAACATGGGCAGCGGGCGGAGGGGCAGGTACTCGCCCTTCTGCAGCATCTTCTGCAGCGCTCCCAGAGCGGGGACCCACTTTGGGGGGCCCGGCAGTGGATCTAGGCGCCTGATGTTCCAAAGCCGGTTCATGGTGGCTGCAGAAAGTGGGGGGTCACCCGGGGCACGGAGTCAGGGACCCGGCACCCCCCAACCCACCACCGCCCTGAGCCAGAGCTCAGTGGTACCAGAGGGTGGAGCTTCCCCAGGGCTTGGACTGGCCCTGCCAGGCCCGGGGGAGGAGCCTTTGGTGGTGGTGGTGGGGGGGGCTTTGTGACCTCATTGGACACAGGCAGTACTCTTCCTGGGAACTCTCCTGGGGGCCATGGGCTCCCTTCTCTTATGGGGATGTGGCCTGGACTCTTGAGGGTTGGGGATGGCGGGTAAACCAGAAGCCCCCATGCCCAAACTGAAACTGGTGACAACAGAAGGCCCTTGAGGGTCTGTCTGGGATGTTGCAAATGGATGGTTAACCAAGGGGAACCTTGGTTGTAAGGGGAAGTGGGAACACAGCCCCCACTTGCCACTGACCCTTCTCTAGACCTCGAGTAAGTCCCACACCCCCATGGAGCCTGTTTCCCCAGATCAAATGCGTTTGTGTCTGTGGCCACAGTTGCTGTATATTGAGTTATAAAGAAAGGCACTCAACCTTTTCAATGAGCCAGGCAGACCTTTGGCAGAATCACAACTTTCTCTCCTTAGATCTGTGACCTTGAACAACAGACACCCCACCAGACTCAGTTTCCTTCACCAGTAAAATGGGGTATACCAGAGGATCCATTGAATCCTGTCAGTAAAACCCCACACTTGAGGCATGGTCCAGAGCAGGCACTCAATGTATATGTGGTTCTTCTTGCCCCCTTCTGAAGGTTTATTTCTTGAGAGGGGACTAGATTCTGTCATTCTAAAAATAGTGTTTATTATTTTTTTTAATGTGTCTTGCAAAATACATTTTTTTGTAGAAATTCTGGAAAATACAAGCACAAATAATAAAAGTCACCCAGAATCCCAACCCCTGCTTTCTACCTGGAGGTAGCCATTGTCAACATTTTGGTGTATTTCCTTCTAGGATTTAAAAAAAAAATCCGTATATAGAGAGAAAGAGAAACACAAAGTGGGGATCACAACGTCATGGTTTGCAGCCTGCTCTTTCTGTCTGAAGCATCTCTCTTGATGGCTGGTCACCAGTGTTCCATCACATGAGTGGGCTATAATTTATTTCACCTCTTCCACTGTTGGACATATAGGTTGTTTTCAATTTGCTTTTGTGAACACTGCCATCATGAACAACCTTCAGCTTGTAGTTTTGTCCTGTACGAGTACTGTCGGTCACAGGGTGACCTTCTGGAACCTTCCATTAAATGTTTATTGAGTGCCTACAGAGGGCTGGGTACCAGGTGAGGCTCAGAACCTGCCCCTCAGGGTTCACAGGCCCTGGGGGCACCAACCAATCTCCTCTGCATGGTCATGTCCACTCAGGGTCCTTCCTACCCCCTACCCCAGGGGCCCCAGCATCCAGGCTCCAGCCCTCAGCCCTCAGAGAAACCTCCTCTTAGTGGATGTGTATGACAAATTTAATTCCCTCTTCTTCATCTCAAAAAGGTTTCTTACATTTTTGTACAAAAACCCAGGCCTCCTTTCCCTCTCCCTCCCCACCCCAACACAAAAGGTAATTGTTTAATAAATAATATATGCTCCTGCTCAGGCCCAGAGGAGTGGGGACCAGGGAGACACTGTGGCCAGACTTCTTAGAGATCCAAGAATCCAGGACCCCAGTTCTCTCCCCCTGGGGACCCCTGAATCCACCTGCCTCCCACCCACCCCCTGAAATAAATAAGTATAAATAAGGCACAGATGCCCCAGCCCAGGTATTCTGGAGGGATCATCTCTAACTAGGGGAAAATAATGGGGGGGTGGGCGGTTTCCTCTGGCTGCCACGCCCCCAGTCCCAAAATAAATAAATAAATAAGGTCTGGCAGTGAAGGACGCTGGTGGCTCTGGGTTGGGGGTCACAGCCGAGTCTTGAGCAGCAGCAAGCCCCGAACAGCCCAGTCCAGCGTCAGGTGCAGCCCCCCAAGGATGGCATGGGCCGCCCGGATGCCTCCCCAGGCTGAGGCTGGTGGGGCCAGGGGGGGCGCTGGCGGGTCTGGGGGTGCCTGGGGCAGTGCCAGGCGGGACATCTGTTGGGAGAAGATAGAGGGTTAGCAACAGGCCAGGGGTGCAGTGGGGGTCCAGGAAGGGGTGTTTGGAGCATCTACTGAATCAGGTTGGGGGGTCCAGGCTGTATATTTCCAGAGTGTCTCTGGTCTGTGGGGTGGGGTGTCTGGGGAGGGAGTTCTTCAGGATGTTGGGTTCAGAAAATGGAGGCTGGGACCAAAAGGTGGGGGTCTCAAGGCTAGGGTTCTAAGGCCAAGTCCAGAAGCTTAAGGGGGAGGTCTGTAGAGCCAGGGCTGGGATCCTGGTCTTAGGTAAGGCCTGGGGTCTCAAGTGTGGGGCCTCAGAACTGGGAGCTGGAATTTGATGTCCAGGGTCTTTGGGGTCAGGTCCAGGGGTCTCAGGATCTCAGGGTCTCAAGGGCTCAGGGTCTGGGGTCTTCTAGTTTCAGACCTCAGGGTCTAGGCTATTGAGGTCTGGGGCTTGTGGAGCCAGGGTCTCTGGGCTGGCTTTGGGTCAGGGTCTGGCATCTTTGGGTCTGGGGCTCTCAGGGTCTGGAGGTTCAGAGTTTCCAGGGATTGGGGTCTGGAATGTGGTGTCCTGGGGTCAGGGTCTCCACATTGTGCGTGATGGTTTGGACTGCTGAGTGAATCTTAGGGCTTCAGAACAGGTGTTTTGGAGTCACAAGACCATGTGGTCTCTGAGTTTTGGGGTGAGAGTTGAGTTTCCAGGCAGGATTTTGGCATCTGGGGCCTCGGGGTCTGGGTAACATGATCTTAGGGACACAGGGTGAGGATCTTGGAGCAGGGACATCGTACCAGGAGCTGCAGCCGGCGTAGCAGCCGGTCCAGCCGGGCCTGCAGGCCTCCCAGCTCAGGCTCCAGGGTCCTCAGGGAGGGGCCTCCCACCCGGCGCAGCCACTGCACGTGTCTCAGGTAGGAAAACAGGTCTGCCCGAAGCCGTGTCAGCACGCCTGGGAGCTGGGGACAGGGCATGAGGAGCTTCAGGAGCACATAGCACATACCCACTGTGGCCCCCCAACCCCCCAGGACCCCCTCCACTGCCCAGCTCCCACCTTCACCCCCATCCATCTCTCCTGCTCTTACCTGCAGGGCTCCCAGTGCTCCTGCACTCATGGCCAAGGTGGGCAGGGAGTCCAGGTTGTGGTCCCCGTCGGCTGGGAATCTGTCTCTCTTGGGGAAAGAAGCTATGAGGGGGACCCTGCCCAGCTCTGGGTGGTCCCTACACCCCCCCACCACAGGCCTCAAACTCCTCCCTCCCCCTGTCTCTGCCACAGAGGTAGCCCAGATACCTATTCCATCACTCCCGGACCTGGCTCCCGCCCATCCATCCCCTCCAGTTTCTCCTACCAGTTGTGCGGCCAGCTGCCGAGTGTCAGCCAGGAGGGAGCGCGTCAGGAGGACGGCGCTGTCCAGCTCAGCCCGAGGGTCTGCAGAGGCCCTTGGGGGGCCAGGAGGTGGCCCTGGGGCAGCAGCTCTATTTGGCCACAGGCTCAGCGCTACCAGGACCAGGCAGCAAACACCTGGGGGCGGAGAAGGCGGAGGGCTCAGGCGGGACTGGTGGGTCCAAGGGAGGAGGCGCTGGAGGCCTGGACTTGTGAGTTCGAGGGTGGACGGAGCCTGGACTCGTGGGTCCGAGCAAGGAGGGCTGGGGGTCTTGTGTCCCAGGGCGGAGCGCTCAGGGTAGGTCTCCAGCCCGGGCGGGCTTCCCTCGCCAGCTCTGGCTGCCCCGCCCGTCGGAGCAGACGCGGCCCGGGGCGGGTAGACGGGCCGGGCGTCTCCCGTCCGCCCCCGGACGCCGGAATCTGGGCCCCGGGGCGGGGCATGAGGGGGAGGCACAGGCCAGAACCTGCCTCCTCCCCGGGCCCCGGGAGCCCAGTCCCGCCTGAGAGCAGGGGAGGGAGCCCCGGCCGGAGACCCCAAGGACCTGGCCGTCCCCAAGAGACCCCTCCCGAGTTGAGCGGCGAAGACCCGCCACAGTGCGGGATGCCCCAGTACACCTGGGCGGGAGAGCCGGACCCGGCGGCGCTGCGCTGGGGCCAAGGCCGAGGCCGCCCTGGCAGCCCATCCCCCCGGACCCCGCCCCCCGCCGCCTACAGCCAATCAGAGCCCCCCGGGCCGCCCCGCTCCCGCAGCACACCCCCAGCCCGCCCCCCGGGCCGCTCCCGCTGCTGTCCGTCGGTCTGTCCGCATCCGTCTGGCTCCCCCGTTTCTGTCTGCACCCATGTCTCTCTCTCTCCCTCTCTCTCTCTCTCGTCCCCCGGCTCTCACCTTCTTGGGCTCTCTGCCTCAGTTTCCCTCGCGCAGCCTCTCTGTCAAGGTCCCTGGGTGTGTGCGTCTCTCGGTCCCCACTGACTCCCTGGGGATCCCAGACCTTTGGGGTGGCCTCCCAGCATTTGTCTCTCTGTCTCTGTCTGGGGGTCTCCATTTATCGGTGTCTCCGCGTCTCTGACTGTCTCTTCATCGCTCCCTCTGCCCGTCTGGTCTCCGGGCCTCCTCCTTTCCCTGACTCTCCTGTCTGTGTCTGCCTCCCCATCGCTCACTCTCGCTCCTGCCTCTGTCCAATTCCGGTGTCTGCTCCCGACCCTCCCCGCCGACGGTCCCTCCGTCCCTCCCTCCTTCCCTGTCCCCCGCACCCCATGAACTTGAACCAACTTACTGTTCATGTCCCCACAGGGTAGGGGTTCCCCAGGGCAGGGGGCAGGGAGCCTTTAACCCTTCCCTGTCCGCTGCTGGGGAGCCCCAGGGGTCAGCTGGGCCTCGGCCTGGGGAGGGGAGGCATGTGCGGTGAGCAGCCAGGGCCGCGGCAGTGAGGGAGTGTGTCGCCTGGGGGGTTATATAGGGGNCAGTCCCAAGCCGCGGTCCAGGGCCTGGCAGCCCCGCCCCCCACCCCCTCCTTGATCCCTGAGGAATCTGGGGAATTGGAAGTAGGTCCAGATGATGTTGACACAGGAAACGGTCAGCAGCTGCCTGGCCTCAGCCCCATAACCCCCACGGACCCCCACCGCCGGCCCCCTGCTGAGCCCCCTCTGACCTGTGTCATCTCTGATGGAGGCAGCCCAGGGCCCACTCATCTCCCACCAGGATGTTTACAGATGGCAGGATGGAGTCAGCGTCACAGGGCTTCCTGAGAAATGGGGTCTGGACTCCTGGACATTCGCCCTCAGACCCGGTCCCTGGCCCCCTCTTCCCTCATACTCAGGAGTCTGGAAACAAAGACTTGTGGCCCCAGGAGAGCTGAGCCCCCTCCTCACTGTGCTGAAAAGTTGAGTGGAGGGTCACATGGGGTGAACTGGGAAGTACGTCCCAACCCAGCCCAAGTCAGCCTCCAGCGCCACCACCAGAAGAGACCAAACCGGAAGTTTGAGGACCTCCAGTTGGACCCTTACCCATTTTTGGGTGGGAAGACTGAGGCCTAAGCAGGCGAAGGGTCTCTGTGCCCAAGAGTCAGCCTTGCCCCTGAAGCCCTCAGATCTCTGTGCCAGGTGTGGCCATTCCCCTCTGGGAGGCCTGGAGGGCTGTTGAGACCAGGGGACTCCTGAGACAGTGCCCAACTTCCCCCCATTTTCTCCTTGCCCTCCTAAGTCCCCTGGTTGCTAGGGGAGTCTCCTTAACAATGGGGCTCAGTGGGGCCTTCTGAACTTAAGGGCCCTCTGCCCTTGGTGGCTAGGGGGAAGACCGCTGGCAATGAGGTCTGAGGAGACTTTGGGCCACCTGGAGATGCTGAGTCCAGGCCTCAGGTTACTAACAGGGACTTCTTGGCAAGGACTCTGGGTGCCTACCCCTTGGGTTCCCTGGTTGGGAAGGAACAGAGACCTTAGACCCCCACCCATTTCCACCTAGGTGGTTAAGGAGGCTCTTCTAATATCAGGCCCCCACGCCACTCCTAAGGCCTCTTCCACCTGGTTGCTAAGAAAGCAACTCCCTAGCAACCAGGCCAGTGTGACCCCCCCCCTTCCTTCTTCCACATTGCTAAGGGGGCTCCCTAGCAACAGAACTTAGAACATGGGGCTGGGTGGGCAGGAGGGTGGGGCTGAGCTGGTTGCTAGGGTGATGGTCTTCAAGCTCTCACCCCACAGAGGACCCAGGTGTCTGGGGAGACAACATGGTGGGGTCTGGGATCCCAGCTTTGAGCCTCTTCTTGCTGATACAAGGCTCAGTAGGTGAGGGGCCCCAAAGAGAGGGTCAGAGAGCTGAGCAGGGGTCCTCCTCAGCCTCCACACAGCCCCTGATGCTTTCTCTTTTCTTTCACAGATGGGAATGGAATCCAGGGGTTTTTCTATCCATGGAGTGAGCAGTGACTAGATCCTGGGTCCCCAGGGATAGGGCCTGGGGGGCCTGGACTACTGGGTCTGAGGGAGGTGGGCGGGGAGGAGGGGCTGGGGGCCTAGATTCTTGGGTCTGAGGGAGGAGGGGCTGGACTTTGACTTCTAGGTCTGAGGGAGGAGGGGGCTAGAGGTCTGGGCTTCTGGGTCCCGTACAGAGCAAGCACTACATAGTCAGTCCTCAGAGCTTGGCTTTGGGACCCTTGCTCTCTTGAGTCCCTGGGGCCAGACTCTAGGATGAAGCTGCTGCTCATGGTCGGTCCTCAGGCTGTGAGGGAGACATATGGGACCGGGAGAGCTGTGGGGGTCAAGCAGCACTTGAGAACCCCAATCTCTGTCTGCGTCTGCGATGCTGCTACCGAGATGGGGTCTGCTATCACCAGCGGCCGGACGGTGAGTGGAAGCTGGGGTCCCCGGGGTGGGGGCTTACAGCTGGGATCCCTGGGTCTCAAAGCTCCAAACTTTGTTCAGAAAACATGCGGAGGAAGCACATGTGGGCGTTGGGCTGGACATGCGGAGGCCTCCTCTTCCTGATCTCCAGCATCTGCTTGTTCTGGTGAGTAGGGTTGGGGTTTGGGTGGGCACCCTGCTCCCAGAGGAACAGGTGGATGAGCTGAGGCTGAGTGTGTGCTCTCCTCGCCAGGTGGGCCAAGCGCCGGGATATGCTGCACCTCCCAGGGTTCCTACAGGACAAATGCAACCTGTCCAGGACTGTGTCTCTGTTATCCAAGGACCGGGGAACTCTGAGCGAAAAGAAGGGATCCATGGGCAGCACGCAAGCCTCCATGCCTTTGGAGGGGACCCTGGACATCTCAGGGGCCACTGAAGGGGAAGGGACAGAAGGGGGCGAAGAAACGGAAGGTGGGGAGGACGATGATTAGGGGCACCCCTGGGGGGACCCCTCAATACAGATATAGCACACAGACACCTGATCTCTTTTCTGGGAGCCATGGGAGCAGGAGGCAGATATGACCTTGAGGCAGGGAGTGTGTGTGTGTGTGTGTTTGAGTGACAGGGAGCTGGACTGTGATCATGGAGCATGTGAGCTGAGTGGGTAGAATGAGAGGGGTCTGAGGGTAAGTAGAGAGGATCTGAGCTGAGGGGTACCTGGGCAGATGGGGGCCCCAGGCTGATTGAGGGGGACTGGGCTGTGATTATGGGGTGTTGGGACTGAGGGGGTCTGAAATGAGGGATGAGGGTGTCAAGTGGGGGTAGCCTGGGCTTGATGGGGCTGAGAGGGCAGCTAGGCTGAGGGATGCCTGAACTGGGCTGGGTGGGGCATGCTACAGCCAGGGGGATGTAGCCCCTCAGCTCTCTTCCTGCAGGGAGCACCACTGCCTGATAGCCTCTGCTGCCCTACCACGGGATTGTGCTTCCCGCCTCCCTGACTGCATTTGACAGGCTTCCCACCAATGTCTGAGCATGGCAGGGGGCCTGCAGGACTTGTGCCTCCCCCAGCAGGTGACGTCAACTCTCAGACCCCCAGTAGGCTAGTGGAAATTTTCTTGGAAGTACGTTACAGTTCAACACTTGTCCTGCCCACCCCTCCTTCCTTCCCCCTCTCCTTTCTCAGTGCCAGACCCGCACCAACCTCCACTGCATAAGTCTTTCCTCCAGTAAATATTTTGCAAGTCTAATTTGTCCCTCTTCTTCCTGGAGGGCCCCCAACTAATAGAGGGGTCCCGGCAGAGGGAGGTCTGAACAGAGAGGATGGGTCTCGGCTTGAGATCCTGCCCCTCATCTCCCTCTGGGAGAGGCCAACATGAAGCTGGGCTCCTATATCCCCAGGGGCTTTAGGTCCCCCAAGGGCATGGGTGACCCCTCTGTGGGTGTGGCCTGGGAAGAAGAAAACAAGTTCACACTTGCCCCAGTGTCATCCCTCCCCCAGACAGACAAGCAGAGCTGGGAGGCAGAGCCATTTATCCAGGTGACATAGAGAGAGCACATCCTGTGGCCAGATGATGTTGAAGGCAGCTGCACATCTCAGTTGGGTCCTGACAGGTGGGGCTGTGGGTTCATCTGCAGGAGGGAGGGTGGGGTTAGTGGCTGCTTGAGACCCTGTAACGCTCTGTTCCCTGTGCCCACCACCCAGTGACCTGCTTCAGCCCCTCACATATTGACTTACACACTTGCCCACTGGCTCTTCCCTGCCAATTTGCTGCACTGTGCATGTGACTTTAAGTCATTGGAATCTAGTGGATACAGGTGGGGAATGAGAGACCAGGAGACACAGAGGTGCAGAGACAAAAAGACATGGGAGACAGGAAGAGAGACTAAAATGGAGACACAGGGACTGAGAGAGAGAGAGACAGACAGACAGACAGACAGACATCCAAAGAGATGAAGACACCAGGAAATATGCTGCAGGAGCAGAGATGACCAGGGTGTCAGAGATGAGTTCTGGACTCAGTGATCACAAAGATGAAGGCAGTGGAGAGATTTGGAGAGACCCCAGGAGGAAGAAGGATAGAGACCCATAGTCTCAGAGAGAGTGGAGGCCGTGGGCAGAAGAGACACACAGAGAAAACAGGGACAAGGAAGGGTGGCAGTGATGGAGAGGCCCAAGACAGAGATGAGAGACAGATACTCACAGAGATGGAGTCAGCAATAGGGACATGAGGGAGAGCCTTTCTCCAGGAGACAGGTGGGCACATGAAGGTGAGAGAGAACCAGAAACAGAGACAAGGGAAGACATCAAGACACCCAGAAGAAGTGGGACCTTGGGCATGTGGCTTCACCTCTGTACACCTCAGTTTCCCATCAGTGAAATGGGAATAACTTTTGAGTAACCACCCCACCCCCAATGCCTCGGGTTGCGGACAAAGTGAGTTCACTCATGTAAAGCACACAGTCAGCTCTCAATAAATACTATCCATTGTTGTTCTCGTTGATTTTTATTAACACACCTAGGGACACAGAGAGAAAAGGTGTAGCCACTGGGGGAGACTGGGATAGAGGTGAGGGTGATGGAAACATAGCGAGAGTGTCTCACTGGGGAGCTGGAGATGGACAGGGCAGGGAGGATGCTGTGCAGAGATGGACGCATGGAGAGGCCTTGGAGCAGGAGAGGCAGTGAGCACCAGGTGTATGGGGCAGAGGTGGTCCTAGGGTTCACCTGGAGCCAGTGAAGGACTGAGATAGGAACCCAGGTCTCCAGAAGCACAACCCCCAGGATAAAGGTGAAAGAGAAAGATGGGATGGGGGTGAGAAGACAAAAGGTGACAAGCACTTCTAAAGGTCTCCCTGCAGACCCCCCTCCTGGCCCCAGACTGTGCTGAGCTGGCAGGGGGGCTCTGGGGATGAATGGCAGCTGGAGTCATCCCCCACCACTGGGAGGGGGGCTGACTGCTCAGGTCCCCAGGGAGGTGAGGTCACAGCCCCCCCCCCCACAGTGGGACATGACCTCATCGCCTCAGGTAAGCAAGCTCTCTCTTGGTCTGTCATGGCCACCCCTTCCAGGCCCCCCAGGGGCCCTTCCCAGCTCCTGCTCCCACTGGGACCCAGGCCTCTGACCACTGGGTCTCCGCCCCTCAGGGGGCCTGTTTCCTGCTGACTCAGTGTGGGGGGCCCAAGGCTGCGTCAGTGAGGGGAGAACTGACGTAGCCCCCCCCCCAACCGGCGGGGCCAGCCAAGGTGACTCAGGCCACTGGCCTGGGGGATGGACTGGCCTGAGGGGATGGGGACTAGGCCTAGGGCCAGCCTGAGAGCAACAATAGGGATCTGGTCATGGCAGCCCCGTCCACCTACAGGGAACCCTGGGGTGCCAGGCCTAGGTCCCCCAGTCCCTCAGACCCAGGAGTTCAGGCCCCTAGACCCTCTCCCTCAGACCCAGGTGTCAGGAGTTGAGGCCCTAAACCCTAGTTTCCAGAAAAGTAGAGACAAACATGTGGCCATTTGGGGCATGCTCTGTTGGGGAAGGACAGGAACCTGGGGCGGGTCCTGTGCTAGGGCTAGTCCCCATATATGCCTCAGTCCTCACCCTGGAGCTATGGTGTTATCTTTCCCCAGGTGGCTATAGGAAGCTGAGAGAGAAGAGTGGGTGCAGGATGGGGCAGGACTCCTGGCTCTTCCCCAGGGCAGGGACACTTGGGCTACTTCTGTGGAAACGAGGGCAAGAAGGAGAAAGAGAGAGGTAAAGAGGATGAGAGGCAGGATTGGGAAGTCCCAAACAATGACAGATGACACCAACAAGCAGAAATAAGAGACTGAGCAGAGACCATAGGTGAGGAAGACAGAGACGCAAAAGCAAGGAAATCTAGAGACACAGAGACAAGCTCAGAGGCTGAGAGACAAAGATGGGGGGGACACTGCCTGAGGCTCTGAGGGGTGGTCACAGACTTGGCTGGGAGATGTCACAGGGACAGGAGGAGGGAGCCTGGAGTTCTTGCTCATGTGCTGGCCCCTGGGCAAGGTGGGGCTGGCTGGTGTGAGGTCAGCAGGTCCAAGGCTGTGTGTGTGTCCGTCTGTCTGTCCCTGGGGGGTCCTGTCTGGCCTCTGGGGGGTGACGGGGCAGGCGGGCCGCAGAGGCAGCCCAAACCTGTCATTAGCGGTGAGGGCCATGACGGCAACCCCCCC